CCAGTCCCTAGAGAAGGATACCATACTAGGTAAAGTGGAGGGCCAGAGAAAAAGGGAATATCCTTCAATGAGATGGATTGCCGGAGTGACTGAAATGGTGGCTCAAGCATAGCCAGTATTTTGAGGATAGCACAGGAGAGGGCAATGTTCTGTTCTGTTTTTCACAGTGTTGTTATGAGCAGGAGTCAACTCAAAGGCACCTAGAAACTGCAACAACAACATTCTCAAAATGGAAATGCTGTTTTTTACTTTAAAAAAAATAGAAATATCTATCTATCTATCTATGTATCTATCTATCTATATATATATATATAAACATTAAAAGACAAATACATATACTCAACTAGTTATATGAACTGGGAAGGCTGGGAACTCCACTAGCATCTGCAATTTTAGTGGAGGCTGTATATTCAAATTAAACACATAGAGTACATTTAAATTCCAATTAACCTCCTCTTTCAAAATGCATTCCTGCTTCCCCTTTACAGAAAATTCTCTGAATTAAACTAATGTGTTTCTTAAATTTAATATTCATGACTTTTATTAGGCAAGCAAGATACTGGGGTGTTTGGGGAATATCCATGGAATCCTCCATGTGGTATATATACCTAAAGTGAATGGAAAAACACAATAAGCTGTTTTAGAAAATATGAGTTGAAACAAGTGTCTGTGATGTTGTTATAAATTTGTTAGCACATATCTCTTTAGAATGTGCTAATGCATTTCACCCTCTTTTGCAGAAAACAAACAAAACAAAACAAAAAGTCTTATTATCACTATCATTATCAAGGATGTTTTTGACTTTGTTTCTGTGTTTTCCCTAATTTGAATTGGAAGTTGAAAACAAAACACATTGCAAGTTTCACTGTTACTTATAATTAACAAAAATAAAGTTGTTCCAAATGTAATCTTCAAAAAAATAGCAAGTATACAAAATAAAAATTACAAAGTCATTATCAATATTAATTTCACTACTAATTGTTATTTAATGAGTACAGTGAAGTGAGTATCATACTATTTTTGATGCTAGATGCCATCAACTCCATTCTGACTCATAGTGACCTTATCTATATAAAACAGAACAGAACTCTGCCTAGTTTGCACCATCCTCACAAGCTTTGCTATGCTTGAGTCCATCATTGTGGCCACTGTGTTAATTCATCTTGCTGCAGGTTTTCTCCTCTTTCACTGGTCCCCTACTTTACCCAGTATGACACTCTTCAGACAGTGGTTCCTTTGCACAACATGACTACAGTAGGAGACAAAATCTGGCCCTTCTTATTTCTAAAGAACATTCTGTCTTTACTTCCTCCAAGACAGATGTGCTCTTTCTTCTAAAATTTCATGCTACTTTAAAAGTTCTTCACCAACACCACAATTCAAAAGCATCAATTCTTCTGTGGTCTTCTTCATTCACTATCCAGCTCTCACTTGCATATGAAGCTGTTGAAAATACCATGGTTTTGGTCAGGCACACCTTAATCTTCAAACTGACATCTTTGTCAAAACTCTTAAGAGATCTTTTGGAGGAGATTTTCCCAGTGCAAATTAAATACATTATTTAATGTCTTGATGGCTGCTTCTCTGGATTTTGATTGTAGATCCAAGGAAATGAAATCCTTGAGAACTTCAATCTTTTCTCCATTTACCAAGATGTTGCTTATTGGTCTGTTGTTGAAGATTTTTGTTTTCCTTATGATGAGGTGTAATCTATACCTCAGGCTGTAGTCTTTGATCTTTATCAGTAAATGCTTCAAGTCTTCTTCATGTTCAGCAAGCAAGGTTGTATCATATGCATAAAGCAGTTTGTTAATGATCCTTCCTCTGAAGGTGATGCCACATTCTTCTTCATATAATCCATCTTCCCTTATTATTTGCTCAGCATACATATTGAATAAGTACCATAAGCGATACAACCATGACATACACCCTTCTGATTTTAAACCATGAATTATCCCCTTGTTCTTTTTTGGGGAAAAAAAAACAAAAAGTCTCTTGATCTATGTACAGGTTCCTCAGACCACAATTAAGTTTTCTAGAATTCTTATTCTTCCCAGAATTATCCATAATTTGTTATGATCTACACAGTCTAATGCCTTTGCATAGCCCAAAAAGGTCAAGTAACCATGTTTCTGGTATTCATTGTAGAAGTGTGCTCCACAGAGTTTTCATTGTCTGATTATTCAGTAATAGGCTGACAGTCATTTCTTCCAAGGTACCTTTGCATTTACTTGAGCTGTTAATCTTTCAGTTAGCAGCTAATCATAGTAACCATCTGTACTACCCGGGTATGCTTATTGAAGATTTTCAAAGTGAAAATTTTGGAAAGCAGTGTCCATAGAGATAATTGAGCCTGGTGTATGCAGCAATTAGGAGCTTCTACCAGTTACAGAAGTAGCAACTACATGCCTGATAGAAGGAGCAAAGTTCTTTTACCATCCTAGGAATGAAAGAACTGCTATTGTTATTACATACCTCCCAAGGGTGGAATTGGTCTTATAACTATTTCAGGATGCAAGTTAGTTCATAAAAGATTTACAACCTGTGTGTAAAGTTAAAGTGGAAATAGATTTGTGTTCACATAGATTGAACCTCAGCCTGGACTCTTTAATATCAATGACAAGATAAAGATGATTGGATTATCTGGATCCAATAATGCCATTTGTTCATCTGAATGATGAGAAATCATCCTTGAAAGACAAAATCGTCATAAGCCTCCATATATTTTAATTTTTTTTTCACATGCAATTTCCTGAACTTACTCAGAAATATGAGGGTATACAGAAATCAAGAAATTATGACCAAACTCACAATAAATAACAGACATTTGAAATATGTATTATCAGACACAGATTTATTAAAAAAAAAAAACTACATTTTCTCTATGAAGCTATTTATTTCAGCCATTTATTTAAGGATTATTATGTAATTAATGCTTCATTATTCTACGTGTTATAAGTGGCAAGAATTTTGCTCAGTATTTAATGATATCACACTCCTCTTTGGTCAAAACAATTATTAATTTTGGCCTTAGTAATTTAAAGAGATTCTTTCTAAAAATATACCTATCAACAATGCTTTTATTATTCAGGCACAAGTTAATAATTTATAAATGTACAGGAACATTATGTGTGGTAAAATATTGCTTTTGCTATATAATTTAGTTGATATAAAGTGGGTGTGATTGCAATGTAATGTGCATATTTTTAGCATTAAATAGGACTGACTTATTTGGAGCAAATGTCTGTGTGAACCATTGGGTTGTTTTAAAAATATCCAGCCTATTTCTAGAGTTCTCTTAGTCACTTAGATGACTTTCTTCTCAATAAGCTGTAATTTTCTAGTACAATTGTCATAGAATTCCACCTTGTACTTTTTCTCCTCAGTGCTTATCTGGATGATGCACTTGGAATAATTAATGAATTCTCAGTGAACGCAACTCACCTTGACACAATTTCTTGAAGAGTTCTCCTATTATTGTCTGAATGTAGACAAAGACCTTCTGTATAAATTAATCCTTAAAGATAAAAATTTACTTAATCTAAAAGCTGTTTTAGCATTATGTCTGTAGATATCACATTTAAGTACTAAAATTTTTTATTGCTTGCTCATTTCATTCATTGTTTTCTAAACATGATATAATACACTCAAAAATATATTTAGAATATTCTAAATTCTTAGTGCATCAAAATAGAACCTAAAACTCTCAATAAAATTTGGAAATTGATTTTATTAACAAAATACTAAAAACAGGAAGGAAATAAATTCAAAAAAGGTAAGTAAAGAATGTGATAGTCCTTTAACTAATAGATATAAAGTTGAATTTATCTTTAGAAAATTATGATGTATTTAGTAGGCCTCATTTGCAATAACTTTTTAAATTTGTTGTTTAACTATATAAAGTTCAAAACACTGTGAATAATAATGCCGATATTTAATGCTGGCAAAAGGAAAGCCGTTTTAAATAGAAAACTTTAAAAGTGTAATCATATCACAAACATTGAAAGATAAAATTTAACCTGAATAAATTTTTAAAATTCAAACAATAAAAATAAGTTAATTTAACTGAAAAACATTATAGTGATTGTACTATTTTTACTTCAACGTCAGACTAAATTTTATTGTCTCTGTCACTATATACCAAATAATATTTCCTTCTACTGATGAATACAAGCCATCAATTTATTCCATGATTCATGCTTGTTTCAATTATTGTAAAAATATATCAAATATTTTCATTTTTTTCTTAGTCATCCATGTTTCTTCATGTAGCCACAGTTCTTGTAAGAACAGCAGCACCTATTGTCCTAAGTCAATTCCTAGTTATGGCCACCCTATACCATAGGGCTTCCAAGGCTATATAATCTTTATGGAAGCACATTGCAACATCTTTCTCCCATGGAGCAACTGGTGGATTAGAATCACTGATCTTTCTGTTAGCAGCCTAGTGCTTCTGCTCTCAACTTCTATTGTCCCCCCTTTCAGAGATCCTATCTTTCCAACACAAAGAACCAAAAGAACACTTTCCTAAACTAAAAGAAAGCTTACTTCTTCACTCTCAATGTTGGTGAGTTTTTCTTCCTTTCCCTTAAAACCTCAGGGTTTTTTTTTTTCTTTTGTTTTGTTTTGTTTTCATTACTGGTTATTCTGTTTCCTCTCTTTCTACATTTGATAGGTTCCTTGATATCCTCAATACTCCTAGAAGGAAATGGTGAATAAATGCTATTTAAGTGTCCAGGCATAGGGGAAGAAGATGGCCAGCCATCATAAGATGGTTTCTGATTTCAAAAAGCTACTTTTCTTTCTTTTCTCAACTGTGAATTTCCTTTGTTCCACTTCTCAACTGGAACTTGAGCAAATGCACATAGTAAATCTGAAAAAATTAAAAGTAGTATACAATAAAATATTGTGTTCCTCTATGAAATTATTGGGTAGAAATAATCTTTCTGTCATCAAACCAAATGTAGAAGTAATGCATTGCCTTTCAAATTGATACTTACTGTAGTCCAACTGACTTGTTGACCTAAGTCTGTAAAGTAGAGTGTAATAATGGAGGAAGCTGCAATTTTTTGAATGCTGATATGGTCCTTCAAAAAAGATCCACCTAAAATAAAAGATAACAAGGAAATATTATTTTAATACAATTTCAAGGCACAATAGTGTTCTGGTTACCCAGTGCTGCTCTGACAAGAAATATACTACAAATGGGATGGCCATAACAAACAAGAGTTTGTTCTTACAATTTGGAGGCTTTAAGTCCAAGTTCAAAGTGCCAAGCTCTAGGGGCTGGGTGAAAGCCCATCAACCTTGAGGTCCAGCTCTGCCTCCTGCTCCCGGCCCACTAGAGCCAGAGGCATTTCTTCACTCAAACAGGAGCTGGCTGCTGAGGCTGAGAAGCCCAAAGGTTGACAAGTAAAAAGGCACAGTCCTGATGTTACCAATCCAAATAGCAGGCCATTAACTTAAGTCCACTGTAAGTCCCAAGGTCAACAGAGCATAGCAGGCTGCTGAGCAACGACATGGCTACATGCAGGGTCCCAGTGTGCCAAAAGCTAGAGACCATTCCCCAAGGGTTCTGCTTATATACAGGAAGCAGACCACATACATAAAGGCAGCTACCCAGCAGCTTGTGGTAGATCCCACCATGGAGTTGATTGCCAGTCTCCTCATGGATATTAACTACCATCAGCTGCCTAGCCACTCAACCAGGCCCAGCCAAATTGACACATAAATTGAACTACCAAAATAGCAAAGATTTTTTTTAAGTGAAAACTAAGATGAAATTTATATAGAAATTGCAATGTGCAATAAATCCTTAAGTAAAAACAAAATGTAAATAGATTGGTTTTAGAAAATATTCTATCACATTCTCAAGTGCACAATAGTTTCTCAATGTTATTTAATAGAAATTAAAGCTACCATTATTCATTATACTATTGTACACTCAGAAAAAATGTAATATTAGAAAATATACTTATGATACTTAAGATAAAATTTTATGTTTACTTTAATGGTGGTTAGAGTCCTTGGGTGGAAAAAATGCTTATGTGCTCAACCACTAGTCAAAAGGTTTGCAGTTTGAACCCACTCAGATGGGCCTCGAAAAACAGGTCTAGCAATCCACTTCTAAAAGGTCACAACCTTGAAAACCCAAAGGAGCAATTGCCTTCTGCACCCATGGGGTTATGATGATCTGTAACTGACTCAATGTCAACTAACATCAACAACAACAATGTTGGGTATCATTATAACTAAATTCCACTGTCAGGTTTTGTCTAAATTATTATATTATAGGACAAATTAGATGCAGTCGATGGATTCCACAAGTTTTTCCCAAAACACCAGGAGAATAGCATGATTTACCTTTTTAAAAGTTTACTCTGGTTGTTGTGTGACAAATGGAAAGAGAAACAGGAATTTCACTAGGAGTTATCTCAAGATGATCAAACAAGAGATGTTTGTTTGATCGTTTTGAATAAACTCCTAAGTGATCTTCCTGTTTCTCTCACCAGTATTGACAGAAATATTAGAAATGCATCAAATTCTAGTTATATTTTGTACATGTCTGATTCAATTTGCTGAAGAATTGATTGTGTGAAGAGAATTCAGTGACATAAACAGCTCTCAGATTTTTAGCATGAGCCCCGGGGTACATTGTAATCTCATTAATTGACATGAAGAGGACTGGAAAGAAGCAGGTTTTGGTGGTGAAAATTAATAGTTCTCTTCTGGGTCTGTTAACTAAGTGAAAAGTAATAGATACTCCAGTAGGAGTTGTCAAGTAGGCAGCTGGGTAGATGTGTCTGTAGATACTTGCAAATCATTGGCATTTAGTGGCATGGGGCTTGATGACATTATTATGTATTCAATTTGAAAAGAAAAGAATGGAAAATAAGACTGAGTTCTTTAGTACTATAAACTTTAAGCAGAAAATACACAAAGGCTTGCTGGATTTTTATACATATAAAGCAATTGTTCTACTTAGTTTAGCAACTATACTCTCTCTCCCTCCAGGAGGTATTTTCCTAGCTGGTATGCCATTTTTTTTTTTTTTT